AAAAAAAAAAAAAAAAAAGAATTAAAAGTGATTCATAACAGGAGAGAACACACAGGCAGCCAAAGAGTTCTTGACTTCTAATCACATATGTTCCACATATATCTTTAGTTCAGTGCAACTTATTAATAGTGATATTTCCAACAGCTTGATTTGCTGCCAATTCTAAATTCATGGGAAGTTATCTCTTTGAACAAAACTTAAATTGCATTTGTCACACTTTGGTAGAACCAGCTCCTACCTGTAACTTTCAGTTCTGTTGTTCGTCTTACAAGTTTTCCTTCATATTTAAGTTCACATGTGTAATTTCCACCATCTTCTTCTTGAACTTCCTGAATGAGAAGAGCATTTCCTTTTTGTATTATGATGCTTCTCCACATTTTTGGCTTGCATTCCTGCAGGGAAAATATTTGTAAGTTAGTGAAAAATGAATATTCGCACTGCTAAATCTTAGAATTGGCAAGGTAAAATTGCATTGTTGTATTCTTCCACATAGTCTTCCAAATGTGTAACTAAGAAGTTTAAACAATGATCAGGCAATATCATAAATGCATACTATTGAGTCCAGTTCAAATATCATTAGTTGCAATGCCAAGAGCTATTTTAAAAACCTGACTCCAAAAGCAAGAGGAGTTCAAAGGTATTAAGCAAAAACCGAAAACCATACAAGCTCCCAAATTGCAAGAGTCACATAGAGTAACGTTAAAAGTTGCTAAGTATTATTTTAATGCCCTGTTTTTTTAACTGATATGCATTTTTCCTAAGAGTCTTCAGGGACTATATTTCATTTGGCCATGGACCATAATTTGATCAGAATGTGAAGCTTCACTGATGGTTTATAACAGGCTTTTTACATTAGTAGTGAAGTTTATAAGTATTTCATTAAATATTTTCTGTTGTAAAAAAACAAAAATAAACAAACAAAAACCTTAATATTGATATCTCAAAATCTCCTTCCTTGTGGACAAAAGTGAGAGGAGGGAATCTAAGATACATAGCAAATGAAATGAGGATGCATTTTGTAATAGTAACAGCATAGAGAAATCAACTACTTACTTTGTGAGTTTATTGATACGTGATGAGAGAAAAAAATATTTTGAAGCAAATTTTTATTTTCTTCTGATGGGAAAGTGGGGCAGTCTTGCTACTACTTTGGACTTCTCAAGAAAGGAATGTATAATACTTTCCCCGTGAGGGACAAGTATGTGGCAACCAAGTGTACAAGACTGTTCTGGCAGGAAGCTTTGGTTTGGAAATTTTCTCAAACAACTTTTATATATTGTCCCAAGTCTCTCTATGGCCAACTGGAATTTTTCAACCAGCCAGACATTGTACAAACATCAGTGGAAGAATAGCAGGTAGCTATAAGGGAATACTGAACAGTTAAGATAAAATTATTTTGTCATCTAGATTCTGAGTCTGTCAGTTGAGACAATAATAAAATCAATTACAAAGCAGATTATGTGGACAACAGTTGAAAGAACTTTTTCATTTTATCCACTATAGTGAATGTAACATCTGCATCTACTCTTCCTTACCCCTACATTCCGTATACATATTTCAAGCACTCACAAAACCTTGGAATCTGTTGACTCTCAATCCCCAGCTGTGAGTGTCTATAAATGTTTATAAATTATTTGTGAGAGCAAGTACCCATTTATTAGTTTTTCACTATAACTTTTTCTTCCTGTTAGCAGGAGATTTGGCAACAAAGCACAAAAATTGGCATTTAAGTTCATAGGTATAATATTCAAGAGATATGTCCAGTATAGCTATCCAAACACATTTTCAGAGCGTAAATAAAAGTAATACAATGGAGGACATCTAGATATAAGACTGCTTCACTCTCTGGGGTCTTTCTGAAGAACAGTTAAGAGTCTGTCTGAAATTATATTACATACCATGTCTGGCAAGGTTTATCACCTATATGAGATTTGCTTCTGAGCTAAACCTTGGGATATAAGGTTTCTGGGAAAATGAAGAAAAGTCTAAACAGAGAGGAAAAAAACCAGCCCAGCTGCCACTAACGTCATACAACAATAATCCACAATTATGTTCGCATTGCTTCCAACACTGATAGCCTCAGATTTCTAAAGAATCATTCTGAAGGTCATTAAACAAAAATATGGTCCCTCTGGGCATTTTGAGAGGAAAGGAAAATGAAAGCTGAGCTGCTGCGCTCTCACATAGAGGTGGTGGGGGCAGGCAAAAGCCCACACACTTACTTTATTCAAAGATAAATGGCCTCATTTTCTAATGTCATTTTGGAGAAAATCCATATGTAATTAGTTATAACTAATTTTAAATCACTGATCACAGACCCCTCCCCCACAAATACAGGAAGTAAAAACAAAAATATATAGAGGAGATGAACAGGCTAGAATCTTTGCATGTCCTTTGAGATAAATGTAGACAGTCTCATGTACTTTCTAACTTGTCACTTAGACCTATCCAGTGGAAGTAGGTTTGTCTGTTTGTAAAAGTGCAGCTTGTCAAAATGTCCTTAGGTTGTCTTCATTCCTCTGTAGGCCATGTGGTAAAGATGAAAACGAAAACTAGGCTTGGATGAAAATATCTCTAGGTTGAAATTCAGGGTTTACCCAATTTCTTTAAGTCTCAATTCTACTTTTTCTATTATGGGGGCAATATCATATTAAGTACCATCTGATTTGCCATGACCCAAAGGCAGGGTTTGTTTGTTTTTGTTGTTGTTGTTGTTGTTTTGGTGTTTGGGGGTTTTTGTTGTTTTCTTTTTCGCTTTTTTTTTTAAAGCAGGGTTTTTATCCATCACAGTCTTAGGCAGCCATACCCTGTAAAGTTGTCATCCAGCACAAAGAATGTTTTCCATTTCTAAACCTTCCCAATCCTGGATCATATCTCCCTAGAACCTCTTGTTCTGTTTAATAAGCTGTGTTGCTACTGGGCTAATCAGATAAAAGTAAATCCTTTTGGTAATACTAATTGGTTAACTATCTGCCAGCAAAATAATGCTTCAGCTGCCCGAGAAAGCACAACTTTTAAGAGGGCACTCTAACACTAATCTTAGCAGGTAGATGGAGGAACTGTATTTTGATAGAAGCAGCCTGTAGAAAGTATTTTTACCATCATCACACATGGATGACTTCCTGTCTGCTCCCATCTATCTGCTATCTAAACTGTTACCTTAGTGGTATATAAAATTGCAGATGTTTTCTAGGCTTTGATTCTACTTATTTGAAATATTTCTTCTCTAGGATACTGGCTGCTGAACTTAATGATGTCACTACACCACTTCTGTTCACTACTTGTCTAGTGGACATGTCATATTGCCACATTTCACTGTCTCATCCCTGGTTTATTATGACAGACCACTGAGTAAAAAAGTTTTAAGTGCACAGATCAAGTCTCAGGATAGCTGTTCTTCTAACAATAGTTAGTTAAACCACCAAAAAAGCAAATACATAAAAATTATAAATATTTACATGGTTTACTTTCCCTCCTATTATTGGCCCTACTGCTATTGAAATAAACTGCATCAATTTAAAGATATTGCTAAGGGTCAGCCTTATAAAAGTTGTCTACCTCTAGTTCTTTACCATTCAGCTTCATGGAGCAGGTTTTTGTAAGATATCCTTGCACAATCAATGTAATACCAGTCTATAAATCCCAGTTTCTTTCCCTTTTGCCCTCCTTTGGATACAGTTACCCCATACAAGCAGTTGCTGCATTGGGAGAGTTGAATGCACAAAAGAGACATTTTTTTGACATAGTCTCTTGAAATAACCCGTTGGCTGACTCATTTGGATCTTGGAGGTTTTGTTTTGAAATATTCGCCACTGTACTCATAATCCACTTATGTGATATCATCCTCATACCCATGGAAATTTTGTAATCCATTTGTTATGGTGGTCATGGTTAATTTACTGCCATTTGGAATATACAATTCATTCCTCATGGCCAGAAGATCACGATGGTTGATTTAAATATTTCACCTGATTCTGAGGATTAATCACCAAGCAGCTGTATGGACAAAGGCCAAACAGTAACTTCTGATTCTCAAATCCCTTATATCTGAATGCCTAAAACCCACACCCTTAGGATGACCTCTCTCCTTTCACCTGTACTGTGTACTATCCCTTGAGGCATTTATGCATCTGTTGAATGGTCTTTAGGGAACTCACATTTTCTGTAATATGAAGATAGAATAGATGGCTAAAACCATAAGTACAAATTGGGAATGAACCTCAATTTTATCAGCCATACCTGTACCCTAACCCAAAATGCTAGAATACCTTGCTCCAATGTGTCCTTTCCCTCCCAAGTTCTAACTTTCCAATCATACCTTTAATTGTAATGTTGATATTAATATCCCATAGTCATAAATTTGAACACTTGAATAAGAATACCAGTTTTATGTTTCTGAGCAGTTAATTGCTGCAACTATCTTTTAAAAAGTGGGGGTAATAATATTTATTGAGATAATAAAGATTAAATGAGGCAATGCATATAAAGGCCCTGTATTATAACATATTGCATGTTAAAACTGTGCAATAAATACTAACTCTTATTCAATTTCTGTTGACTCAGTAGTCTCTTATCAAATTATCCATCAATTATTGAGAATTAATGTGACTAGCATTTCTAGAGGACTCTAGAAACAACATTTTAAGTGGTTATAATTCTAGAGCTGGTGCCATTTTTTCAGTCTGTCATGAAAAGGGGTTTAAAACCATCACTATCATTCTTTTTTTTTTTTTTTTTTGGTTTTTTCGAGACAGGGTTTCTCTGTGTAGCTTTGCGCCTTTCCTGGGACTCACTTGGTAGTCCAGGCTGGCCTCGAACTCACAGAGATCCTCCTGGCTCTGCCTCCCGAGTGCTGGGATTAAAGGCGTTTGCCACCACCGCCCGGCTCATTACTATCATTCTTACAAAAAGAATACAGCTAAAACAACTGAAGCTAAACAGTTCTCAGAATCTTCAGATAGTTGATGTAATGGAGGCAACATCCACCCCACACACTGGAATGGCAATCATAGCTCTTAGGGAACAATAACTGGAGAGAGTAACTATTTAAACACTCTATCTCCCCCTAGCCTTTGAATTGTTGGAAGAATTCAAAATTCACTGCCTTCCTTGATAGTGAAAGATAAGAATAAAGACCATAGGTATGTATGATAATATCTGCCTAGAAACAAGGCTCACTAAAATGCTGAGATCTAATCATAAAAGCACAGAATGCTTCCCTAGCTTATACTATACTGGCAAACACTAAGGATCATATATAATAATTCAGAATTGTAGGGCCAGTCAGATTATGTAAAGATAATTGCCAACAAGCCTGTCGACCTGAGTGCAATCCTAAGAACCTATATGGTAGAAAGAAGAGAATCATCTTCCACATGTCATCCTCTGGTCT